GTCTCTTGGTTCTCAAACTATCTTAGTGACAGAACCCAGTGTATTAAGCATGGTGGTGTTCACTCTAGTATTTTACCAATTCTTAAAGGGGTGCCACAAGGCTCTGTGTTAGGCCCTCTTTTATTTACTATTTATATAAATAACCTTGATCGGCATGTGTCTCATGCAAACTTTCATTTTTATGCAGATGACACAGTTATTTACTGCTGTGCACCTTCGCTAAAGCAAGCCATTGAACATTTACAGAATGCTTTCACTGTGGTTCAAAACACTTTGCTACAGTTGAAACTTGTGCTCAACGCAGATAAAACCAAACTTATGCTTTTCACGGACCCTCGGAATAGACCACTGAATGTTCCCTCAGTTGTTACTCTTGATGGACGGGAAATACAGATTGTTACAGTTTATAAGTATCTTGGTATTGTTATTGATGATTGCCTGTCCTTTAAGCCTCATGTTCACAGCCTAGTGAGAAAGCTGAGGCAAAAATTGGGTTTTTATTTTCGAAATAAGCTGTGCTTTTCTTTTAATGTTAAAAAACGGCTGGTGGCATCCACTTTTTTATCTGTGTTGGACTATGGTGATATTTTATATATGCATTCATCTGCTCAATGTCTTCATATGATCGATGCAGCCTATCATACCTCGTTGAGATTTATCACCAACTGTAAAGCTCGCAGCCACCACTGTGAGCTGTACTCTCGTGTAGGATGGTCTGCTTTAGCCACACGGAGGCTCTGTCATTGGTACACCTTTATATATAAGGCTATTCTTGGTGTGCTTCCATCCTATTTATGTTCACTTCTTATGAAAAAAATTACTGGCCATTATTCTCTCCATTCTCAGGCTGTTGTCTTGCTTTCTGTCCCACATGTTAGAACTGTCAATGTTTTAACTGAGATTTCATTGTAAAGAGTTTCATTGTTTCTTTCTTTATTTATTTGTTTTTATTTTTTTTTTGTATGTATGTACTGGCATACTGTTGTGATGTAACTTAGCTGCCTATCTTGGCCAGGTCTCCCTTGCAAAAGAGATTTTTAATCTCAATGGGCTTCTCCTGGTTAAATAAAGGATATAAATAAAAATAAATAAAATTACCGCCCACAGCAAATTCTTCATTTGTTGCTCGGGGTTGCATTTCTGGGCCCACACCCTGTACTGATTAAGCTTTTGCAATACGGATGCTTAATAGATTATGCATCCGATTTACAGTGTCTCAGTATTATTCATACTGAATTGGCTTGGATGTGTTTGCTGCTACTTTGTCAGTTAGCTACATGAAACATTGAGGATTGCTGAACTGGTCAGGTGACACACAGTACCTCGATTGAACCGACAGGTATGTGTGATCTACTTGTCAGTGATAATGTAGACTATTAAAGAGTCTTCATATTTCAGTTGGAACTTCCACCATTATTAGATGGAGTTTGATTCACTGTTAAATATATTAGGCAAAAACTAACATTTAAAAGACGGAGTGATATTTCAGAGATTAGCATCATCTGCCTAACTTTCAGAGCCCTGTCTTCATATATACCCAAAATGTTAGCCTAAGGGCCATATAAGCATCACACTCTAGATCCCTCCAGTAAGACAGGAGCACAAGAGTTCTTTGGTTTTAACTGACTGATGGTTTATTCTGAAGCAGGATCACCTTCATCATCATCACCATCAATGACATACGTGAGAACTAAATAGTGATAAGTAAAACATAAAACTATACATCTGTTTTGTTCTTTGTTTAAACTTGCCACCTAACATTTGCCGTTTAGTTTACCGTCGCTTCTTCACTGAAGCGTCCCTTTCCTTCAGCAGCAAGATGTTTGAGTCCATAAATGGCACAACCTGGCAATGAAGCTGCAACAGTTGCACCACTTATTACCGTCATAGACATTCCTGTTCCCGCAGTCCTTTGAGCGGTGACCAGACTTCAAGCAGCCTAAGCACAATGCCTTATCTTGAACAAATTTAACTTGCTCAGCAACATTCCTTGCCAGAAACTTACGACATATGGAAAGTGTGGCCTGCTCTTCCACAAAGGGCACAACTTGTAGTAGAAGTTTTCTCAGAGCCAGTTGCAAGCGCCTTAGCGCCTCTATTCCTTGGTGTCTTAACCTTCTCACCATTGCTTGGCTTCAAAGCATAAAGGGATGTCACAGGGTTGCAAGCAATCTTGGCTTCCCTTGTGAGAATCTGTACAAACTGACTGAAGCTAGGAAGCTATGACCTTACGATTCCATCTTGATGTTAGCCAAACAGGGCACTTTGCAAGAATCTTTTGGTTTTCATTGCAGTTACTGAGTACTTCAAGGCCATTAATCTGAGGAATGGCAGCCTCACAACTGTGAAGAAAGTCCACAAACTCTCTAAGTTCCAAACTATCCTTGGGACCTATCTTAGGTCATACGTGAAGCTTGACCCCGAAGGCCTTGGCGATAAGGAATGGGTTCCCATATCTTTCTTCTAAAATGGTCTATGTGGCATGGTAAGTCGACTACTTACATAGATAGTAAATTTTCTCCTCTGCTGGTATGTTTTTCCTGTCTATCAAAGTCTGAAAAAAAAACTTTCCAATCACTAAGCCTGGGTGGGTCACCACTGAATGTGACTGGTTCTGGTATAGGGAGACGGCTTGCAAGGCGTGGATTCTGCTGACATATTAACATGAGCTGTGGTGCCGTCTTCTTCTTGCTGTAGATTCAACGCAGTTCGCGGAGGGGGTTGAGGCGTGTGGTTCCTCATGTTGAACCTTTCCTTCACCTTCATAGATGCTGTCACGAAGTAGCTCTTCCATCTCATCTTCTGAGTCTCCACTCTTCTCATACACTTGCATTCTTGCCTTAGCAGCATTTAGTTTCTTGAGTGTCTCGAGGCATTGTAACTCTGTTGTAACTCTCTGCGCTTGTCTTCCAATGTCCTTCATCTTGCAGCATTCTCTACCTCCAGCACAGCTCTTAGCCTAGCTTCTTCTTCTTCGCATTTAAAGGCTTCAGCTTCTTGCTCAGCTATTCTTTCCTTATCTTCTGCTTCAAGCCTCTGAAGCTCTTCTAATTGCCGTTCTTGTTCTAATAAGACTTCCAGAGTTGCTTCGTTAGCAGCTGCTTCAGCAGCAGCCTCTTGTCTCTTGATAGATGAAAGACTTGAGCATGTACTCTTGAGTAACTTTGTGAGTGAATGGGAGCCCTTGAATGCTTCCAACTGAAGCTTGACTCATGTGACCTCATAGATAGGGACACAGATCCAGTTTCCTTCTCAAGTAGTTCTTCTCTTTGGTGCCTCTGGCTATCTCCCTTGAGACGACTCTGTGCAGTTTCTACAACTGCCCGTGTAACTGATTTGCAGGTGTCTACTCTGTGGCATATGGTTCGGTCAAGAATCTCTATTTGACGTATTTCTTCATAAACCTGATTTAGATCTGCTGAGGCCTTACTAACCTTTATTGCTACTCTTTGCAGCAGGTCACTGAACAGTGTTCAGTCATCAGTCGTTTAGTATGCTCATGGCCCTTCTTGATGCAGCATCCTGCTGGCAGTTACTAAGGGCTGTGGTTCTCAAACTTGACCTATATGTTCTCTATGTCATTGTCAAGAAACTTACCCGTATCTGACATTTTGGTTTGGTTTAACTTAATAAATTTGTTTGATTAATAAGTAACCTACAGTACACACTTAAATGAAACACATTCATTCTTAAAGCATAACTCAGAAAACACCCTTAAAGAGTAACCACTTAGGTAGACTACTGCTACTATAATGAAAGGCTGTGCTTACTCTTTGCAGTCCTTGGTAATACTTATACCACACCAGCAACAGATTGGACACAGAAAAAGTTAAGTACATAATACCAGCATGGCACAGAAATATCAGCAGACGACAGCGCCAAGTGAAACCTGCAGATCACTTGCAGCTGAGTTACCACTGGCTGCGGTCTTCTCTCTCTTCCACTCGCGGCGAGCAGTCGAGTTCTCACTGTAGCTCCCTCCAGTAAGACACGAGCACAAGAGGTTTTTTTTTTTTTTTTTTTTTTACTGATTGATGGTTTATTCCGAAGCAGGGTCAGCATCACCATCAATTGCATACGTGAGAACTAAATACGGATAAATAAAACATAAAACTATACATCTGTTTTGTTCCTTGTTTAAACTTGAAACCTAAGAATTGCCGTTTAGGCTATACAAATCAATCGAAATTAACCTTCAGCCTTTGGCCTGCTTATTACATTCATTTAAAAGAAACACAAATCCATGCAAATTTACTTGTGACATTAACCAACAAAATACTGAAATTCAAATGAAATATAAACATAAAATAACAGTAAATATAAGTTTTTGCTTGTACATCTTATTTACATTAGCATTTATTGAAAATCACGAAATGTACATCCATCCATCCATCCATCCATCCATTGTCCAACCCGCTTATCCTACTGGGTCGCGGGGGGTCTGGAGCCTATCCTGGAAGCAATGGGCACGAGGCAGGGAACAACCCTGGATGAGGGGCCAGCCCATCGCAGGGCACACTCACACACCATTCACTCACACAAGCACACCTTTGGGCAATTTAGCAACGCCAATTAGCCTCAGCATGTCTTTGGACTGTGGGGGGAAACCGGAGTACCCGGAGGAAACCCCACGACGACACAGGGAGAACATGCAAACTCCATACACATGGAACCCAGGTGGAAACTCGAACCTAGGTCCCAGAGGTGCGAGGCAACAGTGCTAACCACTGCACCACCATGCCACCCACGAAATGTACAATGTATATGAATTCGCTAAGCTAAAGCGAACCTGTTAGCATTTACCCTGCTAAATACAACTTAAACAAAACTATACTAAAGTTAACAGAATACACATACCTCGTTGGCTACTTACGGAAGGGATTTAACTTTTATCTTAACTTTCTATTCCTTTGTCCTTAGATGACAAGCACCCAAAGCAGGACCCGTTTGCAACCGAACTGCACATGGGGAAAAACGTGCTTCTGTCTAACGTACCTCAATAACAGCAGTTACACTAGAGACTGACAGGGCTGTGGCAGCCGGTTTGTCTGGACTGAGAGAGGTGGTGATGGAGTAAATTCATCACATAACATAAAAACAGCGTGTAAAGGGTATTACTTCACCCTTTACTAAAGGGTCAGATTTTTCGGGCTCTCTTGGTTGTAAATAAAATATACCATAATTTTCTTTGAAAAAGAGGAAAAAAATTAAGTAATATTTTTGCCCATAAAAATGGTCCGGTAGTTGCAAATTAAATATTGCATACTTAATACAAACATTGTCAGATAACACAGTACATATAAAACTCATATAAAAATAAATCAAATAAGCACCTATTAAAAGCATATACACTGATATATTAATTAACACACTATGTATGTATGTACTGGTAAGTCAAAAAAAAGGACCAGTTGATTTAAAGAGCAAAGAAACACATCGTTATGATGCACACCATTGTACTTTGAAACAAAAAAAGCTGTTGGTGAATCCCTTTTACACGACCCAACCCTGGGGAATGATTAATTCCATGGGACACTGAGAATTATGGGTAGTGAAGGGTTTAAAAATGGCATAGCCATTGTACAGGAATATAGCTTCCCTCTCACTTCCTCTTCGGAAATGGAAGATGGGGGAATATACTTCACTTTGAAACTTCGCTTTCGAGAAACTCTGAAAGGCGCACTGTCTCGATCTCTCATCAACCAGTGGGGTGCCCACCTTCGGCTAGTGGTCACCACCAAGAGTGCGACACATTCAAATCCTGGTGCTTCTGGCAAAAGATGGCAGAGAAGCCCATTCAGATCATGCAGGTTGCGCACCAGTCATCTGTGAGGTGGCAGGTCGTTTTGGCTGGTTGTGGGTTTACATCCCAGAGGGTGGTGGAGGTCTTGTCTTCACTCAGCATAGAACTGTGGCCAGTTTAGGGTGTCTTCGCCACTGATGCCGTTGACTGCAAAGTTGTTCTGTAGGGTGGGGCCAGGACTGCTGGAGGCGTCTCCCATAGCCTGCCGTAGGGCTTCCATGGAGCTCGCGTTGTTCAGCTGGTGGGGAGGCATCAGTGCGGTGTAGGTGCAGCTGGAGGAGGGCATGTTGGTGGGCACTTCCTGTCCCATGGTGCCGGTTTCCTGCTTGAGCTGGAAGCCCGGCTGGTCAGAGAAGCTCTGCAGGATGTCCTCGCTTTCCATGACATCCATGTAGTTGTAGGGCATGGTCAGTGGCAGACAGCCGTCTCCATTCATCGGGCCGGCGGCACCAGGCGGGATGTTGTAACTGGGCCAGGCGGACTGCATGTTTGACGTTTCTGTGGTGGCCTCCTTCCGGTGGGTCCCGCGCGTAGCCTGCTGCTGCTGGTGCTGGTGCTGGTGCTGCTGGGGAGGCTGCCGCCAGGTCTGGGCCTCGGACATCTGGGCCTCCGTCATCAGACACTGCAGGTCCCGCTCCGTCAGCCGCGGCAGGCCGGCTGCACCGCCGTCTGGGGCAGGTAATACCATGCTGGGCTGCAGGCTGCCGACGGTGCTGTCGCGACTCGACTGGATGCGGATGGTGTCCAGGGAGAGTGCAGTGTTGCCATGGGACCACAGGCTGCTCATGGGCACTGTGCGCTGGAGGGAAGCCTGCGGGGGCACCATCGGGGGCTGCGGGCTGGTCTGGTACATGGAGCCGTCGTACATTCCAGATGGATTCGGAAGCATGCGGCTAGACAGCGCTGGCTTTATATACGTGTTGTGTGGCTCTGGGGGACACAAACCGGGCAGTGAATGAATGTTACGTCAAGCCACTTGACAGATACATACAACATCCAATGAAAACCAAATACGTCCTCTGTTTACTGCAGATGGAATACGCCCATTCTCCTCTGTCTACCAATAGCGTTTGACATCTAATTGACCAATGAAAAGATGCCTTATGAAATTATCTATTTATCTATTTATATTACTCAAGATTTGCATTCATGATGATCGTTTTCTATGGATCACTTTATATCGCTAATTTGAACGACTTAACATTGATAGCTAGATAGCTAGCTAACAGACATCATTGTAAATTGTGAATTTAAAGCTAGATAAGTTTGTATCTTGGTGATACTGATATTTTTGCCTCGCTGACATTAATCCACTTAAAGTCCATTTAAGTCCATTTAAAACATTCATCCGTTCATTGGTGGCCGCCAGATAGGTTTCTATTTGTGGTGCTAAGGGCAGCTCTTAATGCTGTTTTACGTTTATTTTGTAAAGTAGTTCCTGAAATAATGTTTTTTTTTTTTTTAAGTGTTTTTCATGGGACAGCAAGGATGTTGTGAACGGAACAGATTGTGTACAGACAATAGCATCGGGTTCCCTACCTTTTTTGACGGCATGGAGAATCCGTCCGGACATCTTGGGTCTGTTTGCCGTATTCATAACTGCTTGGGAAATAAAAGACAGACGAGTTTGTCTCAGAGCAGTGTCCCCGTCTGAGCGACACACGCTGTCTCGCCTGTGTGACGGATACCAACGCCTTACCAGGGAGGCTGGGAAAGGACTTCATCAGATCTTCCCTTCTCCTCTTCTTCTCCTGGCAGCCATAGGGATCTGCGATGAAAGCACACGCATCCACAGACAGACAGTGAGTATCCATTCACTGTGATCACAGGTGCTGTTATCTCAGGATTTAAGGCCCTTCAATCAACTATATTTTCCCATATATTTTATCGGCGTTTGACACGTCAATCAAGAATCTATCGAATCGGTTCTCAGGCTCTCCCAGACAGGCCCCGCCCACAGCTCACCTTTGTCATCGGGTAGGTAGCGGAACTCCATGGGCTCACTGACCTCCTGGTCCGTGGGTCGGCGGAGCTGCATGTGCACGGTGATGGGGGATGTGATGGAGGAGTCGAAATATGGGGGGGTTTTGAAGACGATGGCCACCTGTCGGTGCACGTCGGCTTGGGAGAAGGAGCCTTTGGCCTCCCAGCTCTGCATGAAGAAGCGGACCTCGATGTCGTCTGCGGTGATGAGCAGCAAGGGGACACATGGTGGAAAATGGAAGGATATGAGGAACAGAATTACGTGTCTTTTGTGAACAGATATATGGATGAATGAATGAATGAATGAGAAATAAATCAGAAAATTATTATCGTCATAATTGCAGATTCTTTCATTCGGTGTGGTTTATATCTCATAAAAATATATGCTTATGTAAAGGGCAAAGTAGAATTTGGGGAAGTAATCCTAGTTCCTCCTCCACTATACAGCCACCTGTCTTTGTTTTTTAAAAAATCTGCAGGGAGCAGCCATGACCTTACCTTTCTGCACCTTATCGCAGAGCAAGAAGATCTCCTCCCCGCCCAAAACACTGCCGCTGTTCTTGTTAACGCGACAGATTCGCAGCTCTGCCGTGTTGGGGGCCCCTGATTGGCCGTGAACAGAGATCAAAGGTCACGTCGGGAGGGAACATACGGACGGCATTACCTCACTGATCTGAGTTATGTTCATGATTTCCCGTTTTGTGTGTGTGTTACTTAATAGGTTTATCATGTCACATAGAAAGGAGTTGCTCTATTCAAATTATGCGACTTCATGGTGTGCTTATCAGGGCAGTCGAAAGAAATATTTGATGCATGGTGCTTTGTTATCATACGATACTTTCATTGAAGTGTATAAATAACATTATCCCAAATGCTGACTACTTAACACTCCCATCTGGACAGTTTGAAGTAGTTTAAGTAAATCCAACCAACACAAGGCAATTACAAAATTACAAACAACACACTGTGTTCAAGTGTTAAACAGTGCTGTGGATGCAGGATCTCAATTAGAGAGCAGATTGTCATTAGAGGAAGTGATAATGCATGTTTACTGTTGAGAGATTTAAAAAAAAAAAAAAAGGAACTAGTGCAACTTCCTTTTTTGCTATGAGCGAGAGGCGGAACAAGTGTGGTGACTGAATGCTGCTTGGTGGGCAGCTATCATAGTGTGTGTGGAGCAGTCAAGCCCAACTCGAAATGTAGCTGTTTTTTTTTTTTTGAAGTCACATTCACAGCTCCAACCGTTAGCTCATGCCTTGCACAGAGCAGCCTAAGCCCCACCGACTACTTAGGCAGGGCCTGCATTCCCGCACGGCTTCTAGTCTGCGACTTTTCCTCGTTGAGGACAGAGTATATGTGCTTTCGGATTTTTTTTTCCCCCCCACTTATTTTGGTTTCCGGGCTGGTGGGAGCTACTCACGGTTGTCATAGATGGGGTTGGAGACGATGGGGGTAAGCCTTCGTGTGTACTGTCCCGCCTGGTCCTGCAGAATGACTTGGAAGCAGAGGCGCACCACGTTGAGATCATAGTCCTCTGTCTGCAGCAGCTGCTCTCGGGATACTGCAGGGACAGGGCGCGACAGTTAACAGCCGTACACTGGAGGGACAGGGCGCGACAGTTAACAGCCGTACACTGGAGGGACAGGGCGC